TCTCATTTGATATTTGAAAAATGGCTAGAAAGGCTATTTTTGGAAAGCAAACATAGCGGGTCACAAAAGAATTCCCACTTCAAACGTGGAGGCCCCTGCCTAAAAACAAAAAACAGTCAAATATGAGGGCTTCACAAACTCGTTCACCGCTTTACTGTCACTCATTAAAGTTAATGAACCGGGACTCCTCTGACAATGGGACGGGACAGCCTGTCTGGGAGCGACCCGCGAATGGAAGGCGACTCCCACTGGAGGATGTTGTTTATTGTGGGAATGCGGTAATTGGAGCACTACTGGCAACTGGTTCTTATTGGTGCATCAATAAAGCAACGATCAAATATCAGAAATGGGATTTAAAAAAAATCTAAACTGGGCATGAAGCTCATCTCATGTAAAAAGTTGTTAAAAAAACTAGTAGCAGCTCCAGTCAGCCCTTACACACACCCCACGCAACTTCTGAAAGGGGATTGTCTATCTAGCCATTTGGCTACGTTTTATTTTTAAAACGTGTATGAACACACATTGTCCCTGTCTGACGAATAAAGGTAATGACAATAACAATAGACAAACAACACGACAGTGACACCCTTTGGGATTAAAAGAGAAGCCACCGAAACCAAAGGTTTGCCTGAAGCCTTTATGATGTGAAGAAGCCAGCTTACGTTCTGCCCTTTGCTGACATAGAGACCCTGGGGCAGTCACCAATGGGTTTGTAATTCTTCGACCACACAAACTTGGACGTCTCCGAAATCTCGCAGGCCTCCAAAGACAGGAAGATGTCGCCAGTCTCCTCATCCACACCAACCTCTATCTCATTGGTGCCTGTGAGCATGAAAAACAGGGAAATTAACTATGAGTTTAAACTACAAAGAATATTCCCTTAAAATGAGAGTTCAGACATCAGTATACATGCAGGCTATACAGAAAAATGACACAGGACCATGTCCTCTATAAATATTCATTTATGGCATTGCTAATATTCTAAAAAGCAAAGCTTAAAAATGTGACCACGTTGGTGAAAAGAAGTCCAAGGTGGATTAGACCCAATTTGATGGAGGCTATTGGTGAGAAACAACTTTATTGCTCAACCTCCACCTTTATGAAAATTATTTGTATTTAAGTATTCAACCAAAGGCAAAACACAAAAAGCTAATTGTCAAACTCATACTAGTGCTTGTTTACATCTGGAGCATCTTTAGCTGTACCAATCACAGGAGGGCACCTCCCCCACTTAATAATAATTAAGTGGGTAACTATTAACTATTGGTAATTATTAAATCTAAATTTAATAGATAGTTTGGAATTATGAATTATATAAGGAGCGGTACGGTGGTGTGGTGGTTAGTTTGAATGTTCTCCCTGTGTCTGTGGATTCTCTCCGGGTACTGCGGCTTCCTCCCACCGTCCAAAAACCTGCATGTTAGGTTGATTGGACATTCCAAAGTGCCCTTAGGAGTGAATGTGATTGTGTGTGGTTGTTGGTCCTTGTGTGTCTCTGTGTAGCCCTTAACATGGACTGGCGGACTGTCCACGGTGTACCCTGCCTCTCGCTCATTGACCATTGGGATAGGCTCCAGTCCCTTTTCCGTGTAGGTGAGGTGAGTTTTTAATGCGCAATAAAAACCTGCTGATCTAAAAGGGCATTCTGAATGTTACGTCCCCCTGGAGGCCAAACGCCTGGTGTTGTGCGGACCAGCCTAGCTGGAGAACTGTTTTGTGAGTTTGCGGGGTGTGTGCAGGGTTTGTGCGGGGTATGTGTGACACACCTGGAAGAGCCTTGGCACAGACTGGCTCCGACACCTGCGAGGGTTTCCCGGCTCCGCTCGCGTTGATGGCACGGACCCTGAACACGTAGTGTTCTCCCTCCTGGAGGCCGGTCACCTGCGGAAACCCACAGAGATGTCCTCGTTTGCAGAGATTGCAAAGTTTTTGGTGGCTTTAGGAGAAACGCGTGGGGTCTCCTACCTGCAGGTAGCGATGGCTCACGGCTTCTTCGTTCAGAGTGACGAACTCAGAGGAGCCCTTCTTGGCCATGTCCACCGTGTATCCGGTCACAGCGCTCGCACCGGTGTAAACCGGAGCCTTCCACAGGATGACCAGAGAGTTACCTCTGACCTCACTGAAGCTCAGGTCATAGGCTGGGCCTTGAATGATAAAGTATTTAAAAAACAGTTAGGACCAAAGAGAAGATGGATCCTGCCTTATGGTTTCAGTTTTTCCCCCTCATCAAATTATTATAACATTTCTGATGTCACCTTCTCATAAAGGCAGGAATCCTTTTTAATCTCTGAAAAGGGATAGATTGCTGTCCAGCCACCTTTAAAGGTTCACGTTTCTGTATGATTGGTGCAGGTGCTGCTGCTTCATCAGAGGCATAAAGATGTTCAAAGAGCTTAACAAATGGATCAGACCACCTACTAGTAGAACCAGAGAACATATTTTTCTTTTTTTTCTTTAAAAATCTTTCAAAAAATTGTTTGTAAGACTTTGAACTCTCTACAACAGACTCCAAACACACTGAGCACACTCAGGAAATTCCTGTGTACATTGTATATTTGGCCAAAAAGCAATTTCTGAGCTAGTATCATCTTAGAATTAGAGACATTTTATCATCCATATGAGCTGTCAAAGCTAAGCTTTTTACAATGCCAGCTTTTTGCCAATTTCTAACTTAAATTAACTTCCTAACTTTCACATATTCAACAAACAAATGGGAGAAAGTCGATGACCCTGTACCTGGCTCTTCCATGGTCCAAGCTTCACATTTCATTGGCGCACTTGGAGCTGATGGCACACCAACACCAGCCAGATTACCAGCCTGGATCCTGAACTCGTAAAAGGTTCCCTCCGTTAGATTGTCCACCTGAAAGTGGGAATAAAGGGTTCCGGCATCCTTGGTTTTTCTGGAACGGTACTCAAGCTGCTTCTCAGTAGACGTAGCTTTCCATCTTTATGTGCTCGGCTGCAGTAAACTCACGGTGCAGATTCTCTCTGTGACGGCAGACAGGTTAACCTCCTTCCACACCAGAGTGTCGGCGTCCCGCTTGTCGATGTAGTAGGCGTTGACCTTGGAGCCGCCGCAGTGTTTGGGGCTCTTCCAGGCCACAGTCATGGAGGAGCCATCGCAGCTCAGCATGCTGATGCCATAGGGAGCACTGGGGGTGGCTGGAAGTTTGGTGTCGGATTAAATTCTCAGAGCTGAAGTTGCTTGAACTGGCTGTAAACGTTATTCTAATCGCTGTGAGCGACAGTTCATTTT